GAGCCCCCTGCCATTAAACCGGAGTTCACTGTGTCCATCTTCCTAAAAATGCCAGTTTTATGCTCCATTCTTTTCTTCAGGAGAGAATTAAAATAACAATTACAAGGGTATGCAGCATTTGCCAAATTAGACCAGAGAGGTTGGCAGCCACTGTGGGTGAGGGAGTGACCGCCCTGACCCCAGCGCAGGACCAGGTGGGCCAGCTGGGGCCCCCAGGGGCTCTGACCTGGGCTACCCCGTGGTGGTCCAGCCCAGGGCAGGCAGAAGTCCCTATGTCGGCTCAGTAGGTGGCTCTGGTGCACCTGCCTGGGCCCCTCGAGGCATAATGGTGCTCTGCAGCCACCCTGTGGGTGTGCCCTCCACACCCTGGATGAAGACAACTTTTCGCCCCCAGGAGTATCTGCCCATGTATTTCTTGCAGTGGCGCCAAACAAAATCCTGTCGCCAGGTGGTTGTGGAAAGCTGCCACATCCCGCCTTACTTGAATAGAGGTGGCGGTAACGAGGTCGAAGTAAAATGCCAGCCTCCGAGCTAACTTTCGGGGGAACTTACTTTGGTCCTTTGGTGACAGATGTAGCCAGGCTGAGGCTCAGAAAGTCCTAGCCGGCCTTCCTGGTGGTGATGGTCATGGCAATCACTGTCCCTTCCAACCAGCTGCACCTCCGGGGCCCAGCTCAGCTCCTTCCTGTCACCTCAGTCACGTGGGCACATGGCCTTGTGCAGGGGCATGTGTGCCAGGGGAGCCCCTCACCCAGAAACCACTTTCACCGCGTTTGCTGCCAGACCACAGCCCATCTCCCCGAGTGCGGTCTCGTCCATGGCATGTCCACAGAGGACTGGTGGGGTAGGGGCATATTCTGGGGTCTTCTGTGGTAGGTAGAATGTCTGCCCGTGAGTCAGGTGGCCCGGGCCACAGAGCAGTCACTTGTTCCTTTCCACAGAGAAGCACTTAGTCCTGTGTGCAGCTCCTGGCTGTGAGTGAAGGGCGTCGGCCCCCGGGCACCTTGTGGGCAGGTGTGGGCACAAGGACAGGCAGAGAAGGCTGAGAGCCCAAGATCGCCCCTGTGGTGGGACTTGATTTAGCCATGGGGCTGCCATTGTGAGGTTGCCAGAAGGAGGACACAGAAGGATCATGGAGCTGCAGCTTAGACCTGGGGAGTGGCTGAGGGGGGTCTCCCTCCTACACCCCTCAGCTCTCCATTTCAGCCCCAAGGTTCCAGGAGCAAGTAAGTGTTGTTCCGGAAAACTGTATATACAGAGTTTGAAGGTGGGAGCTGCCAGGCCCATGAGGATTGGAACTGAGGAATCTTGGGTTCCCCATAGGCCTCTGGGCCTCGGTTTCCCCACGTGCAGAATGGGACTGTTTTGTGCTGAATATCAGAAAGGAGGGCATGGAGCACCAAGGACATGGGCCACCTGGTGTTCGCACAGAGGCCCTTCTGGCCCGGGAGCCTCTTCTATTGGGCAGTGCCTTCGCCCAGCCCTGTCTGATTGGAAGCTTAGCTTGGTCACCCATGCAGGGCCGTCGCTGAACCCTGTTTCTTGTAGCAGAACCTGTGCTTCCAGGCTGACAACACTTTGCTTGGGTCTGGAGGCCACTAGCAGCAAGAGGCAGCTTGGAGCTGCTGGGAGATTTGCCTCTGGAGGAGACCAGGAGAGGCCCTGGGTGCTGGGGCTCCCAATCCCTGCTGAAGGAAGGGGATGGATCCGAGAGAGGGTGGAGATGGTGAAGGTGAAGACGCGGGCCTTCCAGGACTTCTGCTGACCAGGGAATGGAGCCTGGGGAGCGTGGAGTTGGTGAGGGTGGAGATGTGGGGCTGGTGGCTGACCCAGAATGGAGGCCACAAGGGAGGGGACAGGAGGATAAAGGCCCCCCCTCCAACCCTGCTTGAGTCAACCAACATTCATCCTCGGTCATGTGCATCCTAACACTTTTGATGGCAACTTACCATTTATCATGGAAAGCGAGGTTCACTCAGGGGCTGCCCCATCCTGGGTCAGATGGCACTGGATCTCAGAGCCAGAGACCAGGAGGGCCAGAGGCCAGGCCTTTGGGGCAGGCAGGAAAGGCACAGGGTCTGTAGCAAGGGCAGCAGCAGTCTGACAGACTAGCAGGCCAGGTCAGGGAGGAGGTGGTTGGTCCTGAGTGGGATCTCTAGGGCCCGGTAGATGCGTGTGAGCTCCTCAGGCCAGGGACAGCTGGTGACCAAGGTGGCCGTCCATGCTTTCTTTCCCGGGGTGTTGGTAGCAGCTCCCACATCTCCTTCATTGGATTTGGGGAAGGAACACAGGCCACAGGAGTTTGGGTTTAGCCTTGCTGCATTGAGGGAGCCCTTGCTGTGCTCTCCTTCTAAGGACCCTCTCTCCCCACCCTCTCTCCAGGACTGTCTCCGGGCCTGTCAAGAGCAGATCGAAGCCCTGCTGGAGTCAAGCCTGCGCCAGGCCCAGCAGAACTTGGACCCCAAGGCCACAGAGGAAGAGGAGGAAGAGGAAGAAGAGGTTGACCTGGCCTGCACCCCGACCGATGTGCGAGATGTGGACATTTGAGGCGCTGTGGCCGCGGAGCGCCCCGCAGCCAGGGAGAGCAGGCCAGGGGCTCCCCTGGGAGAGTCCCTTTTCTCTGGGACATTTTGCTACCAGAAGGGAAAGTTTCATTCTCTTTGTCGTTGGTTTTTTTTTTTTTTTTCCTTTGCTCTTTCTCCCTTCCGTCTCTGATTTAAGCAAAAGAAAAAAATTACCCAAAAACGGTCTTAAAAAAGAGAAAGAGAAAAAAAAAAATAGTATTTGCATAACCCTGAGTAGGGAGGAGAGGAAGTTATGCCACAAAAATAGAGGAATTTTATACCCTAGTAATCAACTAGTTTTTATATTAATGTGCTTGTGTCTTGGTGTCGTGAAATAGGCATTAACACAAAGGAAACATTTCCAGGGAAGGATTAGATTTGATTCTTTATGTTGTTTCGAAAAAAAAAAAAAAGAAAAAGAAGAAAAAAGCATAAAAACATTTAAAAAAAAATTCAGCAAACCATTTTTAAAGTAGAAGAGGGTTTTAGGTAGGAAAACGTACCCTCGTGCTTTTCCTAAGGCACAGCTTTAGCGTGGTTCTAGGCATCTCTGTATCTCGCTTGCTCGTGCATGTAGTCACTTTATAAGTCATGGTATGTGTATTTTATTTTGTAGGTAGACGTGTAACCTCTTCACCTTACCGATGGTTGATGTAGCTCTCAGAGTAGCCTAGAGGCGGCCTCCTTGCATGCGCCCCCTACCTGAGCGGAGGCCTGCCGGGCTCCAGCCAGCGTAGCAGGATCGGGAAAGGCCAGCTCCCACTCCCACTCTACGCTACTGTCGAGAGAAAACAAAATAGTGACATAATATATTCTATTTTTATAATCTTCCTATTTTTGTAGTTACCTGTTTATGAGATGCTGGTTTTTCACCCTGCGGCCTGCTCACATCCAGGTTAAATCCACAGGTTTTTTTTTTTTTGTTTTTATTTTTTTGTTTTTGTTTTTGTTGTTGTTGTCGTCCCTTCTCCATATTCTAAAACCATTCCATTTCAAAGCACTTTCAGTCCAGTAGGTCTAGGAATATCGCTGTTGAGGTCGTGTGTGGAGGGGGCAATTTTTTAATGGAATGGTTTGGGAATATATTCGTGGACTTGTGTGCAGACAGGATTGCGAAGCCAGTGCATGTCACTGTGGGGTTAGTGAAAGGGAGATGTTTTTGAAGGCTGTGTCCCAGTCAAGAAGAAAAAAGATTTGCATTCTCACATTGCCAGGATAAGTTCTTTTCTTTTTCTGTAGAGAAGTTGGAAGTTTAGGACTCCTTTGGTGCCAACTGGTGTTTCAAAGTAGGGACCTCAAAGGTTTACCCAGAGAACAGGTAGTTTAAGGGTTACCTTTAGACATTTCACAACAGAAGGTTTTAAACACTAAAATATATAATTTATAGTTAAGGCTAAAAAGAATATTTATTTCAGAGGATCTTCAAGGCCAGTATGATTTATAAAGTAATGCAATCTCCCCTTGATTTAAACAGATACACACACACACACACACACACACACACACACACATTCAGCCTTTGATGTTGCAGGTTTAATACAATTTTGAAAAGTGAGGGGAAGAAAAAAAATCTCAAGAAAAAAACACACTAGGGCATTGATTTGGCTTGTTTGGCATCGTTCAGTGATCTCATCGGAGACGTATGAGAATCAGGAAGAAAATTAGGGTACTAGAAACAAATTCAGTTCCAATAGATTCTTATCGCCTGCTCCCTCCTTTAAAAAGTTAGTGACAAATAGACCATTTGCACATCTTGGCTATGTACCTTTTGCCATTTTTCTTGAGGAAGTGTTGAAGGGAGGTGGCGAGAAGTTGAGGCTGATGCTTGAGAGAGGATGTGAAGGAGGGAATTTGGAGAGGGGGGACGGGGCGGTGACCACGCGAGAGACAGGCTGCGGCTCCGTTTTCCTATTGCGCTGCTACCAATGACTCCCCGGCAAGGTTTGAAAACAGACTCACGTTGCTTCTCTGTATCTCTTTCATATTGTTTTGCTGCTATTGGAGGATCAGATTTTTGTTTTACAATGTCATATACTGCCATGTTTTAGTTTTAAGTTTCTCGTAGAACATTGTATTACAGATGCCCTTTTTCTTTAGTTTTTTTTTTTTAATTTTTTTTTTATGTGATCAATTTTGACTTAAATGTGATTACTGCTCTATTCCAAAAAGGTTCCTGTTTCACAATACCTCATGCTTCACTTAGCCATGTAGACCCAGCGGTCAGGTTCTGTCTGCCTCGGCAAACAGACGGGCAGACGAGATCCCAGGATGGGCCTGGTGGGAATCGATTGGCCCCAAGGCCACGTTCCCCCCCACGTGGGCATCTCTGAAGACCAGGCTGTGTCCGTTTTCTTTTCCCTGATGCTGGACTCTTATCTGATCTGGGATGTACCATCATAGTAGTTTTTCCAGCTGTATCATTCTTTGCGTGTAGCTATGAAAGTTGCATTATTATTATTATTATTATAACAAGTGTGTCTTACGTGCCACCATGGTGCTGTGCCCGTAGGACTCTGTCATTCGGGATGATTGGAATAGCTTCTGGAATTTGTTCAAGTTTTGGGTGTTTAATCTGTTATTATGTACTAGTGTTCTGTTTGTTGTTGTTTTGTTAATTACAGCATAATGCTAATTTAAAGAGACTCCAAATCTCAATGAAGCCAGCTCACAGTGCTGTGTGCCCAAGAGTCGCCTAGCAAGCTGCCGAACCAAAAGGATTTGTACCCACTGGTGGACCCCTGAGGCTCTTGGCAGGCCCAGGATTGGCCCACCCTGCCCCTCCCACCCCCTCCAGAACACTGCTTCGCTTACCTCAACTGTTCTGGCCGCGGCATCTGTCTGAACCAAGCCAGGTCCTTGAGGGATGGGTTGTCCGTAGTGATGGGGCAAGGGCAGATGTCTTCGATAATTGTGCATGCGAAAAAGGCCCCAGGCTGGTGGCAGGTCCACAGCACAGCGGAGTCTGTCCTGTGATGCGCAAGTCTGTGAGGGTCTCTGGTCAGCGGGCAGTTTGGGTCTGTGTGTTTCTGATTGCACACTGCGGCGCTTCCCAGCACGGACATGTAACCGGCACATTTCCAGCAGAAAACAAGATAAACGTGAAGTCTAGAAATAAAATTGGTAAAACCCCAGTGCAGTGCCTGCCTGTGTGTTTCCCGGGCTAGCAGGAGGCCAGTGGTGTGGACCTGGTGCCTAGAAGCCTGGGGAGGGGGTGGCAGGCAGGAGCTGGCAACCTCAGCATGGCTGACATGCACAGCCCAGTAGTCTTGCACTGCAGGAAGTTCAGCAGCATCCCTGGCCTCTACTGCCAAGTGCCAGTGGTGCCACCCCCAGTGTTAGCACTGAATGTCTCGACATTGCCAGATATGCCCACCGAGGTGCAGGTTCTGCTCTCCCAGCTGGGTGAGCAAGCCCTGACCATGGAATGATGCCCACTGATCCATATTTGGTAACCCTCTTGTGGCATGGGCTGCTGTTTGTCAGAGGGGAACCATGGTGCCGCCATGTTTGATGATAGCTAAGCACAATGTGGGGCCACAGTCTGGGTGGCTTTGCACCTGGGTCCTGGGCACCCAGGGACATCCAGTTCAGATTTCAGGTACACGTGACTGGTATTACTCCCCAGGTGGAGGCAGGTAGTGGGAAGCACCATGGGAAGGCCCAGGCAACCTCAGCTGTGACTCCACAGGGCCTGGGCCCCATGGCCTTGAAGTTCATTTCTGCAGCACAGACCCATCTGTCCTTACCCCAGCAGCTGTCAGCTTTCATGTCAAAGACGGTCAGTACTTGTCAGTCCCGGGGGCCTTTGTGAAATGCCACTGTGTCCCTCCCCATCCCACCCTGCAAGGCCTTCTCCAGGGACTCACGTGGAGACCTGTGGTGAGACATTGGTTCTCCACAGGCACCTGTACTTCTGGGAGGGGACATTTGGCCTCTGTGGGGCACCACGCCACTCCCATGAGAATGGGGTCCTGGGAGCCTTGCCCAAGACAGCCCTGTGCTGGTGGGTGGGGAAGCCTACAGGGTGCTCCTAATGCAGCTGAGGCCCTGTGTGGGAGAACTTAAGGGACAGTCAGGGCTTGGGGAAGTGCCCCATGGCCATGGAGGCAAGTCTAGCTCTGCCAGAACCACATCCTACGTCAGGGTCCTCAGCCCACAACCTAATTTCAGTCTGTGCACGGAGGGAGAACCGTGCAAGTGGGTCTGACCACAGCGAGGGTCGGCGAGGTGGGCCAGGGGCCTGCGGTGCTGCGGCTGGTGGGGCAGCAGTCTGATCTGAACCGAGGTGGCAGGTGCAGGACAGGATGCAGGAGGAGGACAGGAGAGCTGCTCTAACTGCCAGCCTGGGAAGAGGGTCGCAGGAGGCCAGGGTCTTTTGTTTTTATTTTTTCAGATGGAAGGTAGGTCTGTAGTGTGACGGGGTTGAAAGTTGCAATGCATTCACCAGGTGAGATGGGCCCTGCGTGCATGTGGAGTGGATGGCTTGAAGCAAGGGATCCCGCTGGGCCTAGGCAGAGGCAGGCTGCTAAAGGGGGGAGGTCTGGTGGGGCAGGCCCGAGGGAGGGGTCCTCGGTGCCCCAGGGCCTCTACTCCCCATCTCAGCGGTGAGTGGGTCTCTGAGGCTCTCTACTCTAGACCCCAGATGTCCTTAGGCCACTCTGTGCCTTCTTCCCAACTCCCAGACCCAGCTGATGTCACTTTGGGTACTTGTGACCCCTGCTGGGATGGAGTGAAGGCCTTGTCCCCTGTTGGGTGTCTGCTTGCCCTTTTGATAGGATGACAGCACAAACTGGCCACTGAGGAACTTCAGAGACAAAGCCTGTGCACGCCAGGTCTCCCAGCTGCTTCTCCTCAGAACCCCGGCCCACCTGTGGGGGTCCTGCCCTGCCTCCTGACCAGTCTCTGCAGCCCAGCAGCCCTGTCCACCCTTTGCTCCTCTGGCCAAAACCTTCCTGGGCTTTCCAGTCTCCTTCAGCCCCACCCAAGACCCCTGGATCCTGCCTCCAAGCTCCCAGCCTCAACTCTCCTGACCTCCACGTTCTGCCCGCTGGCTGGACACACACTGAACTGCTCCAGGCTTCCAGTGCTGCGCTGGCCTGACCTGCTGCACCTTCATTTCAACTCTCTGAAGAATTCCCCACCGCCTTGCCAAGGCGGGTGGTTCTGGGAGTCCAGGAATCATTATGACTCTGTGAGCCCCTTGAGGACGGAAGTCTCGCTATTCCTCGCCCTTCCTCCTTCCCACCCCGGCAAACGACAGTGCAGAGGAGTGGGAGCTGAATCTGCTGAGTTGCAGTGACACGCTGCCTGACCCCAGCACCATGTGCCACCAACTCCACTGTGACAGGGGAAAAGCCTGGAACAGAGGAGGAGCTGGGCAGAGCAGGCACATGCACTGCATTTCTGAGGGCAAGAGTGGTGGTGGGCTGTCAGGATGGTGCCATGCTGAGAGGAGCTTGGCGCCCATTGGCAGTGGCCAGCCTCCCTGCACTCCCTCACAGCCAACCCCAGGAAGCAGAATCACTGCCCGGCTACCGCAGCACCAAGGCTGGCCTGTGCATTGGGAGTTCGATGGCCACGTCGCCTCCTCCCACCCGCTCCATCACTGGTCACACCGCAAGGCCAGTCGCAGGAGCTAGAGCCCCAGTGTGGGCCAGGAGGGCAGGCGGCTGTGCGGACGGCCAGCGGCCAGCGTGGGGTCTGCATCCGCACACTGGGCCAGCCTCTCGGCAGCTCACAGGGCTCTGTCATCCCAGGAATGTCTTTGATCAAGAGTTTATGCAAGAGGGGGAAAGAAAGCCCAGGACCTCTAATCCGTTCCCACAGTCCCCTTGCCTGCTGGGGCCCCACAAGCCCAGCACCACACCGCCAGGCCCAGGCCGCAGCAGACAATAGCCTGCGGTCGGGTGGGCGGGCAGCTCCAGGGCGCTGGCCTTGGGGCCCACATCCGGGGGCACTGTCACTGCCACTCACAGGGGCACACAAGGAGGGCCAGGAAAGAGAATACAGAGCCCTCCACCGAAGGGGCTTCAGTGGGCCTTGAACCTATCAAAGACGGCGGCATCCATTAATCCCTTTCATTTTCACCCAGCAGCAGCTGAGACCCGGCCTCTTCACCAGCAGCCACTTTAGGAGCAGAGTGGACTAACCCAAGGATCATCCCGTATCCTGGAGCCCAGCCCTCTAAGCACAGAAGGCGCGGCGTGCTTCCCTTTGTTTAATCACAGGAGAATCACAGCGCCGAAGCTTACTGAGCATGTACTATGTACCAGGCGTCGTGCTAAATGCTGAGCACTCAGCCTGCCCCCGCATCTTAAAACCACCCATGGATCTGCTTCTGGCAGGGACAGGCTCATCAGACGCATGGAGGACCCGGCAGAGCCCACGTTCTCTCACAGACGAACTCATCCCGTCTCCTGGGACTAAGGCTGGGGGCTGGGCACACTCTAGGCTTTGCAGGCCACGTGGTCTCTGCTGCAACTCCTCAACTCTGCCACTGTGGCCTGAGAGTAGCCACTGACCCTGTAAGAGGAGTGAACCCAGGCTCAGGAACACACGGCAGGTACATGACAGGGCCAGGCCTCTGGCGTGGCTGTCTCACAGAGAACAAAGGGCATGAGGTCTCCAGGTACGGCTTACCTGTGAATGTCTGAGGGTGACTGATGGTGTTTTAAAAAGAAACCTTGGGAACCAGCAGTTAGCGTAATGGCTATGCCGCTGGACTCCCACGTAGTCGACCGTGGTTTGCGTCCCAAACCCGGTGGCTTAAAACTCACACCGGCGCGTGTGCGTGCGTGCCCAAGATCCCAAGAGGAGAATGGAGGAGAAGGGATTGCGGCGTGACCATCTCCCCCTGGGGGGTGATTTCTCGCTTTCTGTCTGTCTTTCTCTGTCTGTCTGGCGAGCGCACGCACCCTGTAGCGAAAAACCTCTCCAAAATAAAAATAAAAAGAAAGCTTATGGGGCCAGCAGTTGGCGTGGTAGTTGAGGTTCTGGATTCCCACATGGCCTTCTACGGTTCAAGTTCCAGACCTAGAGACTTAATCATCCCAGGGCATGTGCATGTGTGCCCCAAATCCCGAGGAGACCGAAGGAAAAGGGACTGCAACACGGTCATACCCTGAGGAGTGATTTCTCACTTTCCTTCTAGCTCTCTGGCAAGTACATGCACCTTATAGCAAAAACTAAAAATCGAAAAGCAAAGGCCTACATACATGTACATATGCACATTAGGTACATACATTTCGGACTGGAGGACCCTCGGGTTGGATCTTAACTCTGAAACTTTTGAACTGTGCAAATTCCCCTTGAATCTCATTTTTCTCATCTATAAAATGAGGATAGTTTGGGACCAGCAGTTGGCATAATGGCTATGTTGTTGGACTCCCACGTAGTCAACCATGGTTTGAGCCCTGGACGTGGTGGCTTAAACTCACGCCAGGCGCATGTGCATGCACGCCCAAGATCCCAAGAGGAGAATGGAGAAGGGATTGTGGTGTGGCCATCCCCCCTGGGGGGTGATTTCTTACTTTCTGTCTCTCTGTCTTTCCGGCAAGCACATTCACCCTATAGCAAACACCTCTCCCCCAAAATAAATAAATAAAATAAAATAAAATGAGGATAATCTGCAAAAACATAAGCTCATGCTGTGGTGCCTTCTCCATCTCTCATCAACATGTCCTTAATGTCTACGGTAATGTCCAGAACAGGAGCTCGATAAATCTGTTTGGTGAATGAATTCTTTTTTAAAAAGTATTTATTTGATTCCATTTGTTATTATTTTTTAAATTTGACCAGCAAGAGAGACAGAGAGAAAGGGAAAATGAGAAAGCAAGTCACCGGGTCTAGAACTCAAACTGTGGTCAGCCATGTGGGAATGCAGCGCCTTTAACCACCATGCCACCTGTTGGCCCTTAATGAATGAATTTTTTTCGGGGTGCTGTGAGGATTAAAGGGCTCCGCATATGCAAAGCCCCTGGCACACAGTCTGGCACATGGTAAATGGCACTGTCATCTCACCTCATACCATCATCGCTCCGTGTGTCATCCAAGTCTGGAACAAAGGCCCTGGGGGCCAAGGCAGGCTCTCTGGGTAGCAGCATCAAGACGGTTCGTGTTTCCATCCACAGTT